CGCACAGGCTGCAGAGAGAATCCCAGCGTGATCCCGCGCACCGGTAGTTTATACAAGTTTATTCCCGAAAGCAGCGGCCATAATAAAATATGATTGCACTTAACGAGTGTCAATCCTCGAGTTCAAAACAAGACCGAAACCAAGACTGGTCTCGAGTACTACGACACTATGATTTACCCACACTACCTTGGCGATCGACTTTTAGATCGCGATCAACGTATTGGGCATCCCTGTTCTACAGTCCCTGACAAAAGTCTTGTCTCTTATCCATTTTGTAGAAACAAAAGCTTATAACCTGACTTTAAATTAATTGATTGGTTTTAGAAATGTCTCATATGAAAGCTAAAACCCTCCCAAATTATGCTCAATATACTAAAATAAATTTACTTCACTGAAGAAAGATTGATCATTTAATGAACACAGAAAGGTCAGATTTTGGCAAGACAAAAGTCTTGTCGCCTTGTCATATGATGCACCCAATCCTAGATTACAGCCTCACCTGTGATCAGTTACTGATCAATCAATTAGTGGGTGTGTATAAAAAGAAGCCCAGCACATCAGACCTTCACATCAACTGCAACGTGACCTCTGACAACATGCCTAAGATCCACCCTGAGACCAAAGCGTTAATTATCAAGAGGCTGAAGACCAGATCCACTGCTGAGGTGGTGACACCTTCAATGTGTCTCAGCGTCAAATACAAAGAATAAGAAAAAGATCTGAAATGACTGGAGATGTTTTTGACAAGCCCAGGTCCGGCAGACGCCGCAAGACAACTGCTCGGGAGGACCGTTTGTTGATTTGAAAATCCAAGGCCCCTTTTCCACTGCAGCAGACTCCACCAGGCCTGGTCACCTCAAGTCCCTGTGTCAACCTGAACAGTTTGTAGAATTCTGTCTGGAAATGGCCTCCATGGTCAAATCAGTGCTCAGAAACCAGCACTAAACAAAAGGCAATTAAAAAAACGTTTGGCATTTACCAAGGCCCACAGCCTGCTAAAAGGATGGACACTGGAAAAGTGGCAGAAGGTGGATTTCTCAGATGAATCCTCGGTTGAATTACATCACAGCCGCCGCAAATATTGCAGGAGACCTACTGGAGCCACATGGATCCAAGATTCACCCAGAAAACAGTTAAGTTTGGTGGCGGAAAAATCCTGGTCTGGGGTTCCATCCAGTCTGGGGGTGTGCGAGACATTTGCAGGGTGGAAGGCAATATCAATAACCTAAAATATCAAGAAGTATCAGCTCCTCTTACATTCCCAACCATAAAAGGGTCAAATTTTGCAGCAGGATGGTGCTCCATCACATACTTCTATCTCTACATCAAAGTTTCTCAAGGTGAAGAAGATCAAGGTGCTCCAGGACTGACCAGCCCAGTCACCAGACATGAACATCATTGAGCAGGTCTGGGGTAGAATGAAAGAGGAAGCATGGAAGGCAAACCAAAGAATCTTGATGAACTCTGGGAGGCATGTAAGACACTTTCTTTGCTATTCCTGATGACTTCATCAACAAACTGTATGAATCATTGTCGAACCGCGTGGATGCGTCCTTAAAGCTCATGGAAGTCATACAAGATATTAAATATGGATCTCACAGCACCACTACTTCATTCACTGACGTTATGCAACATATTTTTGTATTTGAAGTAAATTATTTGTTAAATTTTCTGTAGGCGACAAGACTTTTGTCTTGCCAAAATCTGACCTTTCTGTGTTCATTAAATGATCAATCTTTCTTCAGTGAAGCAAATTTATTTTAGTTTATTGAGCATAATTTGGGAGGGTTTTAGCTTCATATGAGACATTTCTAAAACCAATCGATTAATTTAAAGTCAGGTTATAAGCTTTTGTTTCTACAAAATGGATAAGAGACAAGACTTTTGTCAGGGACTGTATGTGGTATTAACTGCTCACACATGATGGATTTAGATATTATCTTTTATTGTTTTGAAATTCGCAAAAAACAACAACGTATTAACATGTTTAATAAGTTTCACTTTGATTTTTGACACTCCCTTCCTCCCCTTGCTAAATCACCCCCCCTTCAGAGTGCTATCAAAACCCATGCATCCAGCTAATAAAACAACTGCACATCGAATCAGGTTTGTGAAGCTGTAGTGTACAGTTTTGTATCAAGTTTTTGTATATTTATAGAGAATTGTCGTGTGGGAACAAGAGTGACGTGGGCTTGTCCTCCTCAAGCATGTTTTTTGACGAAGAAACAACTTTATAACATGCCAGAAAGCTGAAAAAACAAAAAATAAATCGACACCAAGTCTTGAATAGAGGTGGTGACTTGAACACGTAATTAGCCCGGTCAAAAAGCTCCCACCATAATGTTCTTTTCAGGAGCCGTCTTGTTGAGCGTGTAAGAAGGGCTGGTGGTGCGGAGGGTAATTACTCTGAGCGCTACAAGCTGCAGTCCTCAGACCACACTCAGAACACACTTTAAACAGAGCCGCTGGAGCCAGAGCTTTGACACAACACAGCGGGATTATGGGAAACGGACAAGTCTGAGCTACTCACTCCTACTGCCGTGAATCGAGATAAAAAAAACAACAATATTATTAAAGGTTTTCGGGCTCGTAAAAGGTCTTTTATTGGTGTTAGTGTTTTGCTGTTTTGGCTTAGATTTGAGTTTTCAATCCATTATTCTCACCAAAATAACTGTGCGAAGATGCAGAACTTTTGCGCCGTATATGGACTGAACCAGGACAGAACCAGGTCTAAACCAGGACTAAACCAGAGCTGAACCAGGACAGAACCAGGACTAAACCAGGACTAAACCAGAGCTGAACCAGGACTGAACCAGGACTAAACTAGAGCTGAACCAGGACTGAACCAAAGCTGAACCAGGACAGAACCAGGTCTAAACCAGGACTAAACCAGAGCTGAACCAGGACTGAACCAGGTCTAAACCAGGACTAAACCAGAGCTGAACCAGGACTGAACCAGGACTGAACCAGGACTAAACTAGAGCTGAACCAGGACTGAACCAGGACTGAACCAGGACTGAACCAGGACTAAACCAGAGCTGAACCAGGACTGAACCAAAGCTGAACCAAGACAAAACCAGGACTAAACAAGGAATAAACCAGGACTAAACCAGAGCTGAACCGAGGACTAAACCAGGACTAAACTAGGACTAAACCAGAGCTGAACTAGGACTGAACCAGGTCTAAACTAGAACTAAATCAGGACTAAACCAGGTCTAAACCAGGACTGAACTAGAGCTAAACCAGGACTAAACTAGGACTAAACCAGAGCTGAACCAGGACTAAACCAGGACTAAACTAGGACTAAACCAGAGCTGAACCAGGACTAAACCAGGACTAAACCAGGACTGAACCAGATCTAAACCAGGACTAAACCAGAGCTAAACCAGGACTGAACCAGGTCTAAACCAAGACTAATGATACCCAGCCATGATTGTTTACATACATACAGATTTAAACATAGAGATAAGTACATATACAAGTACAAGTACTATATACAAGTACAAGTATATATACATAGGTAAGTAGTAGTAACTGTAGTTTTGAGAGCTTTTGTTCTGGTGCAGTCTTCAGTCCCAGTTCAGTTCTGGTTCAGTCTCCAGTCTCTGGTTCAGTTCTGGTGCAGTCTCTAGTCTCTGGTTCAGTTCTCGTGTAGTCCCTGGTTCAGTTCTGGTGCAGTCTCTAGTCTCTGGTCCAGTTCTGGTGCAGTCTTTAGTCCAGTTCTGGTGCAGTCTTTAGTCTCTGGTTCAGTTCTGGTTCAGTCTCCAGTCTCTGGTCCAGTTCTGGTGCAGTCTCTAGTCTCTGGTTCTGTTCTGGTGCAGTCTTTAGTCTCTGGTCCAGTTCTGGTTCAGTCTCCAGTCTCTGGTTCAGTTCTGGTTCAGTCTCTAGTCCCTGGTTCAGTTCTGGTGCAGTCTTTAGTCTCTGGTCCAGTTCTGGTTCAGTCTCCAGTCTCTGGTTCAGTTCTGGTGCAGTCTCCAGTCTCTGGTCCAGTTCTGGTTCAGTCTCCAGTCTCTGGTTCAGTTCTGGTTCAGTCTCTAGTCTCTGGTTCAGTTCTGGTGCAGTCTTTAGTCTCTGGTTCAGTTCTGGTGCAGTCTTTAGTCTCTGGTTCAGTTCTGGTTCAGTCTCCAGTCTCTGGTCCAGTTCTGGTGCAGTCTCTAGTCTCTGGTTCTGTTCTGGTGCAGTCTTTAGTCTCTGGTCCAGTTCTGGTTCAGTCTCCAGTCTCTGGTTCAGTTCTGGTTCAGTCTCTAGTCTCTGGTTCAGTTCTGGTGCAGTCTTTAGTCTCTGGTCCAGTTCTGGTTCAGTCTCCAGTCTCTGGTTCAGTTCTGGTGCAGTCTCCAGTCTCTGGTCCAGTTCTGGTTCAGTCTCCAGTCTCTGGTTCAGTTCTGGTTCAGTCTCTAGTCTCTGGTTCAGTTCTGGTGCAGTCTTTAGTCTCTGGTTCAGTTCTCGTGTAGTCCCTGGTTCAGTTCTGGTGCAGTCTTCAGTCTCTGGTTCAGTTCTGGCGCAGTCTCCAGTCTCTGGTTCAGTTCTGGTGCAGTCTTTAGTCTCTGGTTCAGTTCTCGTGTAGTCCCTGGTTCAGTTCTGGTGCAGTCTTCAGTCTCTGGTCCAGTTCTGGTTCAGTCTCTAGTCTCTGGTCCAGTTCTGGTGTAGTCCCTGGTTCAGTTCTGGTGCAGTCTTTAGTCTCTGGTCCAGTTCTGGTGCAGTCTTTAGTCTCTGGTTCAGTTCTGGTGCAGGTCTACCGGCTCAGACCAGACCAGTGCTCACTAAACCCATCGTGTGAAGTGAATATCTGCTTTTAATGAGCCGTTTTTTCTGGGGTTTTTTTGTGATTTATTGAACATCTACTTGCGACACTAGTTTTAGTTCTGATTAGTATCTGATTTTAGATTCGTTGGACAACTGCAGTCCCCAAAAGTCATGTAGAAAGCCTGAATAACTGAGTAAACACTGGCCTGATGACTGAGTGTGAAGTGAAAAGTGGAGGTGCTGGGTGTTTTACTCACGTGCAGAGGATGGACTGGTCCTCGCGGTCTGTGGAGAGAAGACAAACATGTGGTCAGCACGTCTCCTGGTGTTAGCACGAGAGGAGAGTAAGCAAATCGCACAAGTTTAAGCAAAACCCATGTGTCTGGTGCGGCCGATACGAAACAGAAACAACAAAACACACGGACACACTCACATTTGTACGATTAGGAACAGACAATCGACATTTCAGATACGTTTGATGTGACGCCAGATTTGTGGGACAGCTGGAATATTCAGAATGAGTCTGGCGAAGGCATTGATGGGCAAGTTACTTTAAAACTGTAATTTGTTATTTATGACTTGTTTCTGTCATTTCAAAGTCATTCGTTTCATTACAATATTACTGTGTTTAAAACATGACACGACTATTGTTTTACTTTTAAGTGACTCTCACCAAAATAACTGTGAAGATGCTGAACTTTTGCGCCGTATATGGACTGAACTAGAACTAAACTAGGACTAAACCAGAGCTGAACCAGGAATAAACCAGGTCTAAACCAGAACTGACCCAAGTCTAAACCAGGTTTAAACAAGGATTAAACCAGGTCTAAACCAGGTTTAAACAAGGATTAAACCAGGTCTAAACCAGGTCTAAACAAGGACTAAACCAGGACTAAACCAGAACTGACCCAAGTCTAAACCAGGTTTAAACAAGGATTAAACCAGGTCTAAACCAGGTCTAAACCAGGACTAAACCAGGACTAAACCAGGTCTAAACAAGGACTAAATCAGGACTAAACCAGGTCTAAACCAGGTCTAAACAAGGACTAAATCAGGACTAAACCAGGTCTAAACCAGGTCTAAACAAGGACTAAATCAGGACTAAACCAGGTCTAAATCAGGTCTAAACAAGGACTAAACTAGGACTAAACCAGGTCTAAACAAGGACTAAATCAGGACTAAACCAGGTCTAAACCAGGTCTAAACAAGGACTAAACCAGGACTAAACCAGGTCTAAACAAGGACTAAATCAGGACTAAACCAGGTCTAAACTAGGTCTAAACAAGGACTAAACCAGGACTAAACCAGATCTAAACAAGGACTAAATCAGGACTAAACCAGGTCTAAACCAGGTCTAAACAAGGACTAAATCAGGACTAAACCAGGTCTAAACCAGGTCTAAACAAGGACTAAATCAGGACTAAACCAGGTCTAAATCAGGTCTAAACAAGGACTAAACTAGGTCTAAATCAGGTCTAAACAAGGACTAAACCAGGACTAAACCAGGTCTAAACAAGGACTAAATCAGGACTAAACCAGGTCTAAACCAGGTCTAAACAAGGACTAAACCAGGACTAAACCAGGTCTAAACAAAGACTAAATCAGGACTAAACCAGATCTAAACAAGGACTAAACCAGGACTAAACCAGAACTGACTCAGGCCTAAACTAGGACTAAACCAGAGCTGAACCAGGACTAAACCAGGTCTAAATCAGGTCTAAAGAAGGACTAAACCAGAACTGACCCAGGCCTAAAGTAGGACTAAACTAGGACTAAACCAGAGCTGAACCAGGACTAAACCAGGACTAAACCAGGTCTAAATCAGGGCTAAATCAGGACTAAACCAAGTCTAAACCAGGTCTAAACAAGGACTAAACCAGGACTAAACCAGGACCAAACCAGGTCTAATCTTGGACTAGAACTTGGACTCTAGGACCGCCCCTGAGAGTAGGAAGTAAAAGCGGAAGAGAAAATTATATTTGGGCCCATGCGCCAAAGAGCACAGGCCACTGAAAACAACACGATAGTTCTATGGTTTATCGACGCTTTCCAAAACTTTCATAAACCCGAGCAGCGTTTCGCCATGACCGTAAAGCCATCAACGAATAGCATGCTAACCACAAACTTCCTGATAATCGCACAATCTTTATAATTAGGTGCAGACGGTTCAGAGCGGACTTATTTTGACTTCAAGAGCTGCGTTTACAATATAGCCGAGTTTCATTGTTGACAAAAGCGCGCGTTGCATGCTGGGAATTATTTTGGTCGGCGGCAAGAAACACTAATTCAACATGACGGACGGAGCGCGAAAGCACGTAAAGGGTATTGATCCCGGTTATTTATCCACTCTAACGGCAGAGGACCCAAGACCATTTGACCAGAAATCGGTCATAAGCATCGACGGACGACAAATCACCCTTTTCAACCCCGACAAAAGGTGGAACAAACCGAATTTCTTGTCAGAATCTTCAACTACCTGGACAAATATTCACTTCGGCGATATCCACAATGACTTGGTGGAAACTCCTGGGTCGTTCACAGCAGAAAAGATGAAAACCTCCAAGAGTCTCGATGTGTTGTTGAACTTGTTGGAGTCCACGGTTTGCTAGGATCTTCTACGTTTCCTCTGCGGATGTTTGAAAGACATTTAATTCACCGTTAGCGGTTCTTTTCACTCAGAATACGAAAAAGACATTTTCCTTCTTCCGTGCTTCTATTTGTGCATCCGATAATGCAGCAGGAATTTACCATTATCGGGGATAAATATGCACTGTGTTTGACGTTACCGTGTTTCTTTCCTCCGACCAAAATATTTCCCAGGGCTTTTAATAACAATGACGTCAGCTGAAACTCGCCTATATATATACTGGAGAAAGACACATTTTGGTCAAATATACGAAAAAATAAATGGGATACAGGCGCTTTAATGGACTCTACTTTACTTTACATGCTCCGACTTTAAACCGAACAGTTGTAGCGCGTCTTGAGCGTATTCCCAGTCCGTTCCCGAGGTGCGTGTGTGTGTGTGTGTGTGATCCGTGTGGTGTGTAACGGTCACAGACGACAGGCAGGCTGTAACGTGAGCCCCGGCACCTCTCATCGCCGCCGCATTAGCCCCGGACCGCTGCGGGGGCTGACCTCCGCGCTCCAGAGGCCTCCCGTGGACTACAAACAACTACAAAGGACTACAAGACCCACAACGCCACAGGGGGCGACCCGGGGAGCTACAGGAAGGATTTTATGGAACGGTTTAAGATCGGTCGGAAAGTTAAACTGCAAAAAATCTTTTCTCGTGGAGGGTCTGGTCTGTCGTGCTTGCTTCGTCTGGAATGTTCCACAGTAGGGCATTAAACCTTTCTATCACCATGGAGACCAAACCGGACCAAGTTACAGGTCAGATTTGTGGAGAGGCGACACCGCTCACAGTCAGAACGCACGTTTTCGAGGTGTTTTTGAGCAATAAAACCACCTGTGACTGAATAAACGTAATGTAGAGTTGCTTAAAGTCATACTGCGGAACATTCCAAGCACAGCAACGACGTCTCCATAGAAACAAGCAGGTGATGGACCCTCAACCAAAAAGTTACACAGTGTACTTAATTATTCACCACGATGAGTTTCTAAGCGCTTCTCACAACTTTCAGAAACCAGAGCGGAGTTTTGTCATCACGGTAAAGCTAACTAGCATTCTAATCATGTACTTCCTGATTATCGGACATGGTTACACGCTGCCATTCCGACATACCGCTGCTCCGACACTGATGTCTAATTGCCGGAGTTGCGGCATTTCCATTTTTTTTTTTAAATCAAATGTCTCTGCACTTCCGACTTTTATTTCCCTTGTTCGGACTGGCGGCGCTTTAGGTTTTTTTTTCAACATTCCACCAAGAGACAGACAAGAGGATTATTACGTTGTGGCGGTGCTCTTTTCATCTTTTCAGGACAATATTTTCAGGAACCGGCGGCGTAGGAGGCGCAGTGTGTAGTCCTGGTTAAATTCTAGTTCAGACCTGGTTTAGTGCTGATTTTGACCTAGTTTAGACCCAGTTTAGACCTGGTTTAGATCTGGTTCAGACCTGGTTTTAGTTCTGGTTTAGTCCTGGTTTAGTCCTTGGTTTAGACCTGATTTAGATCTGGTTTAGATCTGGTTTAGTTCTAGTTTAATTCTGGTTTACACCTGATTTTAGTCCTCAGTTTAGACCTGGTTTAGACCTCCTGGTTTAGACCTGGTTTTAGTCCTGGTTTAGACCTGGTTTAAACCTTGTTTTACTTCTAATTTTATTCCTGGTTTTAGTTTTGGTTTAGGCCTGGTTTAGACCTGGTTTTAGTCCTGGTCTAGACCTGGTTTAGACCTTGTTTAGACCTTGTTTTGCTTCTAATTTTAGTCCTGGTTTTAGTCCTTTTTTTAGTCCTGGTTTTAGTTCTAATTTAGTCCTGGTTTTAGTCCTGGTTTAGTCCTGGTTTAGTCCTGGTTTAGCCCTGGTTTTAGTCCTGGTTTTAGTCCTGGTCTAGACCTGGTTTAGACCTTGTTTAGACCTTGTTTTACTTCTAATTTTAGTCCTGGTTTTAGTCCTTTTTTTAGTCCTGGTTTTAGTTCTAATTTAGTCCTGGTTTTAGTCCTGGTTTAATCCTGGTTTAGCCCTGGTTTTAGTCCTGGTTTAGTCCTGGTTTTAGTTCTGATTTAGTCCTGGTTTAGTCCTGATTAAAGTTCAGCTTTAGAGACGCGGTCCACGTATACAAGGCAAAAAAAGTGACGCTCCAAACTATGAGTAGGACGTCAGAATGGCGCCATCAAAGAGTTTTGGAATGTGGGCACGTCGGAATGACAGAATGTCGGAGTGACGGTCTGTCGGAATAACTGTTGTACCTCATCGGACATTAAAAGACTTTCTAATTAGACGCCAACAGTTCACAGACTTATTCTGATCTCAACAGCTTCTTATACAACCTACAGTATCTGTACTGGGCCAACACAAATTTCGCTCCAAAAAATGAAAAAAAATGAAAAAAAAATCCCACATCTGCTTCGATTGTCTTGAAAATGTACACATTTTGTTAGCATTTACACTAATTTCAGCACAATTCTCTGTGTCAACAAACCAAAGTAAACGCTTGTACATGTGGTAGAGTTTTGTAATGAGGCTCTGATGTTCCTGTGGTCGGGCGCTTTGTCATTTACTCAAACAATCCTGGTTTTTCAGAGTTTTGTGATGTTTGGAGGCTAAAACTAACTCTGCTAGACTAGAACTAAACCAGGACTAAAGTAGACCTAGGACCAAGTGGGA